TTGGCTAAGTCATAATTATGAGATACTATCTCATAATTATGAGATACTATCTCATATCTCATAATTATGACTTGGCTAAGTCATAATTATGAGATACTATCTCATAATTATGAGATGCTATCTCATATCTCATAATTATGACTTGGCTAAGTCATAATTATGAGATACTATCTCATAATTATGAGATGCAAGTTTTATTTATTTTTTATCAGGGTGGCGTAAATGGGCTTCCATACAAACCCACATTTCAGAATGTCTTGAGATAGGTAAATCATAATTATGAGATAGTATTTCATAATAATGAGATAGCTAAGTCATAATTATGAGATAGCTAAGTCATAATTATGAGATACAAATTTTATTTTTTTATCAGGGTGGCGGAAATGGGCTTCCACATAGAAGTGCTGATTCTGATTCTTTTTGGGGGCCGTTGGGAACCCCTGCTTAGCAGGGGTACATTTTTAGGCACAACACCTCCTGCTGCTGAAGCGCTCATCTTTTGCGCATGCGCTGTTGGACGCGGCTGTGTGTAGGAAAAATGGCGGAGGCGATGCAGACTGACAATTTTCCTCGCTTACCTTCTGGGCCGGAGGAGGGTATGACTTTCTTTCTATTATTTTAATGTGTTTGTGAACAGAGCGGMGTATCGGTTAATCTAGCTGAAGTCAAAGACATTGTAGCTTTTTTAAAAGCCGTAGTTGTTGTTAGCTTTCGGCGAGCTAACGCTAGCTGCAGGCTGAAAAGAGCGCAGCGGCGTGCCAAATAAAATGTGCTAAGCTAACTAGCGCTAGCCGTTTCTGCTCCAAGGTCGACCAGAGCAGCTCAGCATCCGATGATTTGTTCAGACCCAACTGTAAATCAGCTCTTCTGCTTGTGTTTTAGAGACCGAGGTGAGCGTTTTTACATCGCGTTCGGCTTATAAGTTAGTTTCAGCTTGTTGCAGGATGATGGTTTAATGCAACGAAGCGTGAATGTACCCTGATGAGACCCACGGTGCATCTATGGATCACAGCTAAACTTCGCTTCAAGTGCCTAAACATCCAATATTTCTGTGTTGTCCTGTTTTTACTACTTCTTTTTGTACTATAAACCCCTGAGTGTTAATAGTGTTTCAGTTTGTTAGTTTCTGTATTTTAAATAATGCAACAAAAGACTGTATTCTCTTTTTTTTTCATTAAAGATGATTCAGATATCTAGTCAGGTACACGGAAATTTGCTAAATGATTTTAATTTTTTCCCCACTGGCTAACTTATAATTTTTAATTGGCTTTAATTTAAAATGGTAAATATTTTAAAGTGGTAAATGGCAATTTAGGCAATGAAAAAGTTGGTCATATGTTCCCAGAAATGCTGTAACACTGCCATGAAAACATGCCAAAAACTGCAAACAAGAAATGTCCTGATGCATCTCAGTAACCCAGGTAAAAAATCAAAAAGAAAAAAATTGTATAGGTCTTCTGGACGGGTTCTTCTCTAATGAAACGTTTCGTCTCTCCTCCAAGAGACTTCTTCAGTCTGAGAGTTTCAGGCTAAATTCAGGCTTTTAAGCACTGCCTCCATGTGACTAATACATCACATGGCTATCGTTGACACCTAATTAACACTTATTGTTAACAGGGGGTGGAGTGATACTGGCAATAGCAGCACTGTAGGAGGGGGACAACTGAAAACGGAGGCCTCCACCTCTGTTTAATGATGGACGGTCTTTCTTTACAAAAATGGCTTCTTTTACTCCTCTCTCAAACCAACGTTCCTCTCTATCAAGAATGAGAACATCCTCATCTCTGAAAGAGTGACCGCTGGCCTGTAAATGAGTGAAAACTGCAGAGTTCTGGCCATTAGATGTAGCTCGTCTGTGTTGGGACATTCTTTTGAACAGTGGCTGCTTTGTTTCCCCGATGTATAACTGGTCGCAGTCCTCCTGGCACTTCACAGCATATACAACATTGCTCTGTTTGTGCCGGGGCACCGGATCTTTGGGGTGAACCAGCCTTTGCCGTAATGTGTTTTGGGGTTTGAAAGCTACTGGGACATCATGTTTAGAAAATAAACGTCTCAGTTTCTCCGAAACACCCGCAACATACGGAATAACCACTGGTTTGCAAACAAGAAAGTAAAATATGCCAATAAAGCTTTCACTCTGGATGCAAAACGTAAACACAAGAAATCATAGTAGGTTAAGCAAGGATTTACTGTATTGTACTGTATAAACAGGGCTACACTGCATTGGTAAACACTGACAACAATGTTTTTTAGCCTTGCTRTATATATTTTGATAAGAAAAAATACAGGTATTTTCAAAAGATGACTTGAATAACACTTTAACTTCTGCTGCTAGCTTGTCTGACCTCTTTTTGTACATGTTAAACACATGTTTTTGTCTGTATTTGAGTTATTCTCATTTTTTATTGCTTGCTTTTATTGTGTTGGGATCTGAGAACATGTTTCCTTCTATCAAGTGCAAACATGAATTGTGTTTTACCTTCGTGTTGCCTCTGTGTCTACATTAGTTTTTGTTTCTGTCGTGCTTAAACACATTTCAACTCTTCAGTTCTTTGCAAATTTAATCATCTTCCTTGTTTTGGTCATTTATCCACATCGTCCTCCACAGCTCATCAACAACACTTCTCCCAAAAAAACAAAACGTTGCCGTTATTGTCCCAGAAGTTTCACAACAAAATGAAAAATGAAACTGCCCACTTCCACTGGCGGAAGCAAYCCATCAAAATAAAAGCTGTAACGTGACTGTTTAGTGCAATGACTTATGGTTTAGTGCCTAGATAATTTACCTCCTAATAATACGCACACGTACATAATAGGGCTGTGTATTGGTAAGAATTTGGCGATACGATACATATCATGACAGAGGGGTCACAATACGATATATCCCAGTATATCGCGATATATTGTGATTTTTTTGTCCAAAACTTCTGTTAAATAAAAACCTCTTACTGGGAAAAAAATGAAAAACCAAAATTCATTGTCTCAGAAAATTCTAATATTACATAGACATACTTTTGATACATTTAGCTGTGTTCTACTTTGTATGTGTTTTATTTTATTTGTTTCATATTTCATCCGTGTTTTCGATTATTAGACTAAATTTGACAATAAATAGTTTGAAAATATCTTTTTTGCAGCTTTTAGTTTTTAATATTAATTTACAATATTGGTCACCCAACACTTAACAATAGCCTCCACCTCAAGAGGTAGAGGAGCCAAATGTCTGGCTCACTGCTGCCAACTAGTGGTCAGAGGCTGAACTACAACATAAAAATAAATGGCTGGCAGGAAAGTTGACATTTTAAACCTTAATTAAAAATCGATACAGGGCTTTAGAATATCGATACAGTATCTGGAAATGAAATATCGCGATATTTCAGTGTATCGATATTTTCTTACACCCCTATTACATAATGATGACGACGCTCAAACGATGCACCGTGCAGCTGTGGGCAGTGTGGACGCAAAACTGAAAAGATTAACTTGTAAATTCAAAATAAATTGTTTAACAACTCCAGGGAACATTTTTATAACCGGTAGTCTGCACGACTTAAAGTTGTCACATTTTTTGCGCGCTGCCAGTAAAAGACATTGTGACACATCGTCCTCCTGCAAGGCCTTATCCCACCAAACTGAATCTTGTGACTATTTTTAAAAAACACCACCTGTTATTAAAGTCACACCTTAGACTTGATGCATCAAGGTGAAAAAAAAAAAAACTGTCTCGGTTTGTTTGAGCCAAGAACTGTGACTCACAGACGGGGCTAAAAATGTGCTTCTGCATCTTGGCTTTTGTTTTTCGCAGATGTCTGCACGAGCAAACGAGAGGTTGCTGGTACTTACAAGGCAGGAATTACTGCTGATGAAGGAAGTTCTCCAGAGTCCATCAGTTATTAGGAATTTTGTTTTTCTGACGTGAAGGGGCAGCTGGTTCCACAGTTTAGGAGCCACAACTGAAAAGGCTCGGTCACCTCTGTGGRCCAGTCTGGACCGCGGGACCGCCAAGAGAGATCTGGAGGCACATAGGGCTGCAGGAGGTCAGACAGGTGTTCAGGAGCCAGTCCATTCAGAGCCTTATAGGTCATCAGTAAAAGTTTAAAATCAATTATAAAACAAACAGGGAGCCAATGAATGGAAGCCAGCACCGTTTTTTTTACGTCTCAAGACATAAAATTATTTTTTTACATCTCAGGAAGTAAAAGAAATTTTTTTATGTCTCAGGATTAGGGCTGCCACGAATAATCGACGACTAATCGATTATTAAAATCCATGACTAATTTAATAATCGTTTTCTTTTTTTTTGTTCTTTGTTTTGTTTTTGTGTCCAAACGTCTTTGACACCTTCCACTGCCACATCTACCTTTCTGTCCTTGACACACATGCACAGTAGTGGTAACTGGGGTAGGCCGTGGACGTCACAAGACATTATACAGACAGGCTCTGGTATCATGGCTACCTGACAACAGAGCTCAAAGTGTGGGATCATTTKAAGAAAATGAAAGAGAAACCTGTGTAATATCTGCAGAGCAGAACTTACCTTCCACAGCAATTATTTTTAGTTAGCATATAGCTAAAATCTAACCATGTAGGGCTGGGCGATATGACCCAAATTTTAAATCAAGGTATTTTCAACAATTACACCAGTTTCACGATATTTGACGGTATTTTTTTCCCCTCACAGCTCAGCTGATAATAAAATGTACAAACTTTGCTTTGGAGACTTTTTTCTTTTCCTATACCTCTGTATGTTTCCCTCCTCTAAACGTCTTTTCTTCGTTGCCTGGTTGTAGACAGTAATCATGCATTTAGGTCCGATCGTGAAGGGTTGGGAACAAATCATCTGGTCTATTGTTGCGTTAATAAAACTTAAAAGGACGACTCACCTTACACACCAGTCAACTTCGCTACATTACAAATCTACTTCTCCCCAAGCTTTTCACAATAGAATTACGTTAAAGTCTCCATGCAATAACGTTTCCATTATAACGTAGCTCGTTAAATCTAACCGTGTACGACACTGAAGAGGTGTTTACTATTTAGCGATGGTGAAAACGGGATTTTTTTTTACGTCAGACCATATAAGCAGCTGAAACACACCACTAGGGTTGTGCATAATCGTATCGTGTGCAATTAATCGTCAGAAAAACATTAATCGATTATTTTTTGGCACTTGACGATTAATACGATTAATGCCACCAGACAGACTGACTGGATATTTCCCCGGTCAGTCCTCTCGGTGATCCTCTCTGCTTCAAATATGACGAACATTTAAACAAAAGTTCGGTAATTTATTTATCTATCAACACAATTTAAAATTTGAAGTATAGCCTGCAGTCTGATTTTGACAAAATTTGGAAAAGATTTTTACGAAGAGCAAATCTTCCCCACTAAATTGGTCATGTGACCAGGAAATAAGGGCATCCAGGGACTCCAGAGGATTAATCGTCAAATTAATTGTTGTCGGCTAAATACCACAATTAATCGTGATTAATTCTTTTGCCAATATCACCCAACCCTACACACCACCCACCACCAGTTGTTCCAACAATAACATTAGCATGCTAATGCGCTTAGCGGCGCTACGAGCAAACGTTTCCCCAGGGAAACAGTTCACTGGCGGTCGCGACGAAACATTCCACACGTGTTCAGGCTATTTACACCGGTATTCAGAAAAGTCATATCATAACAAAAATAAAAACCGTTTTTCGGTACAAAACGGTATACCGCCCAGCACTACAACCATGGTTATATAATAGCAGCTGCGTTCTGATGTGATAAGCTCTATGTTTTATATTCAATGAACGCATGATCTGATTAGTCGACTAATCTAAAAAAATAATTGATGATTAATCGATTTATAAAAATAATCGTTTGTGGCAGCTCTACTCAGGACGTAAATTTTTTTTTACATCTCAGGATGTAACAAAAAAACATTTCACGTTTTTTCACATCAGACTCTTGGAGTTTTTAAACCTCTTCTTAAAACACACCTGTTTTCAAAAGCTTGTAATGTAGTTTGAGAGTTGTTTCCCTATTTATTTGGTCTGTTTTTATGGTTTGATCATTTGTGTTCAATGCTTTGTTTTTAGTTTGCAATAAGTGAAGCATTTTGGCCAACGGCGGTTGTTTTTAAATGTGCTCTATAAATAAAGTTGATTTGTTTTTGACAACTATGAAAACATGTCCTATAGGGTTGTGTATTGGCAAGAATTTGGCGATACGATACATATCATGACAGAGGGGTCACGATACGATATATCGCGATATATTGCGATTTTTTT